CTCTAGAACGGGTGTTCAGAAAATTTTTATCATTATCAAAGAAATTGTCTCTTATTTATTTATCCAAGCAAAATATGAAACTTTCGCTAACAAGTATCTATAACGGAATGTTTTCGCTTTATTTCAACATATTAAATATCATTTCCTGAAAACCTATTAAAAAGATATAACCCATTTCATGCGTACCGATTTTGAGTGAACTATGCTTTACTACACACAGGAAATGTTATAGGTAAAAATAAAAAAAAAAAATATGAAATTTTAAACACAACTCATAAAAATAAAAATTTACTTGAATAAATTTTGTTTGTTTACTAAATTAAGGAAATTATTTAATTGTTTCTGTTTTAGTAGCCTTTTTTGTTGACAATTAACTGATATGAATAAAATGCAAACACGATTAAACAATGAAATTAGAACAATCAAATAACGATAGTCTGATATTTTGCAATAATCACCACAAATTCCTGATAATTTGGCGTTCGATAACCCGAAAAATTTTGCAAGGGGGAAATTTACAGACGAAATTGGCATTTAATTTAGAGTGGAATTCGATAATTTCTACTGGAAGCTAACAGCAATTTGCTAGCATGAAAAAGAGGTTACACAAATTGTTGCTGAAGCCAGCGATCCCACGCCAAAATTTCCAAAACACTCGTTTATGTAGTGAGATGTTTGAAATAACTGGCGTTTATATTTATCCATTAGTTACAAGTGCTTTACAGATATTACAATATAACTTACTTTAGTATTTTCAGGGATCTATCTGGATTTAATTAAATAATGTAGAATTTCTCACGCTCCTTGTAAGAAGTAAAAGGCAGAAAGGTAAGAAAACGTAATGTCAAAAAACATCCTCAAGAAAACTTGTCAGTTGCCGTCACAGGGTGGCACATCGCAGTTAGGGTGCTGCCTCCCCACCCCAGGTATATCCTTCGGATCTACCTCATCTTCCGGAGCACTAATGGAAAGTACGGCAAGTCTCGTGGCAGGCCTTTCGTAGATATCAGCGCTAGTCTTAACAAAGGCGCTTCTTACCTGCCCGTCGGAGCCCTTCCTTACGGAGATTACCCGACCCTTAGGCCAGCAGTTTCTGGGCCCGTTGGGATCAATTACGTAGACGACGTCCCCTTCCTCAATAGGCTTCACGTTTTCGAACCATTTGGTTCGTCGCGTTATCACGGAAAGCGCCAGCCAGAATCTATCAGCCAGTTGTTGCGTGCATCGCCAACCTTTGCGCAATTCAGCTGCACCGTCGACAAACTCTACTAAGGGTTTCATGCCGCGAGAGTTTATGACCGCCTCAATCTCTATCTCGCTGTGAGGCAGGTTAAGAGAACGCCATACCCTATCGACCTTACGACTGTGCGTAGTCGGGGAATCCAAAAGGTCTGGTGTACTTCATTCACAACTGTCTCAGAGCTTCCGTAAAAATACTTGATATGATAGTCTGAAACAAAAAGTCGAGTTATGTTGTGGCTTTTCGGCAATATGACTGGATCTTCCTGTCCTGGCAGATTGACTCTACAACAGAGCCGAAGCAATGACGCATCATCGAGATCGGCGCGCTTAAGATCTTCTTGTTCTACTAGTTGCGGACACATTCGGCTTCCTTTGCGATAGAGCTTCCAGATGCGGACGCTTAGTAAAACAGTTGCCGTTGTTCGCAGGAGACGACACCGTCGGGAAAAGCGTTCATGTATTGACAAGAACCTTTGAGGGTGGTGCGCCGCATCGTGGTGACCTACGTACTTCGCTCTAAGTTCTTCGACGGTTGTCTGGGTGCCTTCTGTATCGTTCGGCCAGTGGCTGCGTGCGAGTTTTAAGAACTGTGGTCCTTTGAACCAGCGGCTTTGGTTTGAAAAGTCAGGTACTGTTTGACACTTCGTAGCGTCGTCTGCCACATTCTCCGCTGAAGGAATCCATCGCCAATCACTCACGTCAGTTAGCTCTAGCGCCGGTGGTCAGAGCGTAGGCAGTAGGGGAATGGAAATCATCTTTACATGTGCCACCTTCACCTTGCTGCCTATTAGAGTACAGTTTACGACATCACCCCGAGTATGGCGAAGATAATATGTGGCAGCGTAGGCGTTTTCGCTGGCGTCCACGAAGACGTGCATCTCTAGGTCGGACTCGTGACCCAAGTTTTGGAAGTAGCATCGCGGTATCCGCAAACCCTCTACCCTGGGAAGTAGGTGAACCCATTTCAGCCAGCTGGAGTAGTGTTCGTCGGGAACGCTGTCGTCCCAGCCGCCAAACTTCCTGAAAAATTACTTTGGCGTATATAACGTAGAAATTGAGAAGTCCCAAGGGATCAAAAATGCTCATGACAACGCTTAATACTTCCATCTTGGTTGGACGGCGGTCGCCGCGCAGCAGTTCCCCAATTTTGTGATGCTGGGCGAGTCGGAACTTGAAACAGTATTCCTTGGTGAGCCTCCACAGGCTCAAAACCTTTTCAACTGGTACTTCTTGAGGGGTGTCGAGGCTTCTTTCGGAGTCAATAGCGTTAACTTGCAGTGCGTTCAGTACTTCCTCGGAGTTTGATCGCCAGTTTCTGATGTGAAAACCACCTTTGCTATCAATGAAACTTACGTTGCTAGCAAGCTGAATAGCCTCCTCTACCGTATGTACACTGTCGAGCATATCATCAACGTAGTGGTTTTTAACGATGCTTTCGACGGCTCTCGGATAACAACTGTGGAATTCGTTCGCATTTAGGTTTGCTATCTCCTGGCTCGAGCCAAACAAAGCGCTGATAGTTTTGGTCCTCGGATCGGAGTCGGACCTGATGATACATCTCCTCTATGTCGCCACTCACCGCTATCGCTCGCTGACGGAATCTTCTCAAGACGGACACCAGGCATGTTAACTGATCGGATTCTTTTAAAAGCATAGAATTGAGAGATATACCCTTGGTTTTTGCGGCCGCATCCCACACGAGGCGGACCTTTCCTGGTTTGTGTGGGTTATACACAGGAAAAATCGGCAGATACCAGCACCCTTTGTCCAGTAGCGACTCAACTTGCAAAGGTTTGGCGTATCCTTTGGTTACATAAGCTGCGATCTTAGACG